GATGTTGAGGATGAGGCTGATGATTTGTACCTCACCGTTGGGGATTTTGTTAAAGAGTGGCTACCTACGGTTTGCGGAGGATTGAAATCTTCACTTTCCTCTGTTATTCCACCTTCGTCCATGTGAGAGAGCTCTTGAAACGCTGCTTCATCTTCCTGCCACAAAAATGCTCTCTCAGTTTCACTTTCTCTCTCTAGATCCTAGCTCTCATGCTTATCTCTCTACAAATTACAAGACCTACTGTTTATCATCATTGTCTCTATCGCCATCGCCAACCCTAGCCTTGAATAAATCTCGTTAAATCCTCTCAATAACTACAACGAGGTCGACACTATCAGACGAAATTGATGCGGTTACGAGCGTCGAACATAGTGGTTATGAGACATCTTCTAGTTTCACGTAGGTTTTTTATATATGAGAATTGAAGTTTTTGCTGTTACTTTTATCACTTGTTTTGCTTTTTAACTGATGTATCTCCATTTCATCACTGTGCTTCGTCATTTTGATCCTAATCTGTTTGACATTGGCGATTGCACGCCCATTGTTCGACAAATCGTCCAATGTACTATGTGAGTTAGTGATGTTAGGATAGCCAATCTACTAATGGATTATAAAGCTCTGGTTCTTGGTAAGTGACAACTTTTTCATATATGGTAGACATTAATAATCGATTTTCTGATATGAATTAGGATGAGTTATTGTTTTACATACATATTGATATCGAGTGTACAGATGATTTCCTTCGTGTGTAGTTTTACATTCAAATTGATATTGGTGTGTAGTTTTGAGTTTTTAATTTTGTTGATTATATTAAAATTTGTTTTAGGTACTAATATGTCACATAGAAGCTACCCTTCTATTCATATGACATTTGCCTTCAAAATCTTCAAGGAAACAAATAAGAAGTTTTCATTGAAGTCAAAGATCCAGGTCCTGGTTATTTACATGGGGGAAAGCCCCTTGAAGTCATTACTTAACAGCTAAAGACATTGTAGAGGGCTCTCCCAATCTTTGTTGGATATAGTGTCTAAGTCCATAACTATATTTGGTATGTACTTGACCCGACCCGGCATGGTC